CGGCCGCGCCGCCGGCCGCGCCGCACAGCCCCGGCACCCCCTGGAAGAGCAGGAAGTACAGCCTGGGGGTACAGGGGTGAGCGTGCCCGGGGCTCCCTGCCTTGCCCTTTCTCCCCCTCGCCCTGCCTGCCTGTCCTTCCCGCACCCACACTCCCTGGGAAGGGGGCTGGGCCTGCTCCCCCAGGCCAGGGCGGCCTTGGGAGTCCTTGCAGGAGCTTGTCTTTTTATTGACTTTCTTATTTGCTCCCACGTCCCAGCTAAGAGGTGCAAGGGCACAGGGGTGGGGGGTGCACAAGTGCCACTGACCTGGCCTTTTTGGCTAAAGGCAAGGTAGGAGATGGTGGTAGTGGTGGTGGGGTGGGGCAGCCGAACCTCCCCCAGGCCTCAGGGCTTGCATGAGGAGGGTGGCCGCTGGGGTCTGGGGAGTTGCCTTAGCCACAGACGATTGAGGGGCATGGGAGGGAGGATGCTGGCATGTGGGGTACATTTCATAGACGTAGGGCTGGAAGGGACCTTGTGAGATCATCGGGTCCAGCCCCCTACCCAAAGGGGCAGCAACATAATCATCCAAACGCAAGATAATCATCCAAATGCTGTTTGAAGGTGTCCAGAGAGAGCGGCACAGGCTTGGCGATTTGAGCTGTGCGCTCAGTCAAAATTTGGCCTTGAACATTTTTTCTTTTTATAAGTGCTGTTGGTAAGACGACTGTTGCGAACTCTGCTTGGTGGCCCCATGATGGGGTAGGTCCGTGTGTAGCTGTGGAGGGAAGAGAGCAGCTCCCTCCTCCCCATTTTTTTTATTATTAAGTATATATATCTATTTTAGGATTACAGGGAATGAATCTAGGTGAAAGTGAGGTGCCTTTCTCTTTTGGAAAGCGATCAGGGTAGAATTGGAAAGGCAAGTCCCCGTTCTTGTGGGGAAGCGGAGCATTGAGAGGGAAATGTCACATTGCTGACAGACCTTGCTTGGAGCAAGATTATTTTTTTAAAAGGAAATAGTGTGAGTGAGCAGCAGGGCAGTACATCCAAGCCCTTGGAAAGGGGAACAAACTAAAATATGTAACTTGGGGACCACCAAAAAAAAAAAAGTCAGGATGATGCTTGGGAGTGAGCACATGGCTGTTTTATAATGAAATCAGTTGAACAGAAGGTTTGACTAAAAGCATAGCTTTTGCAAAAAAGATGCAGCACTTTAACCGGGTGGTCTCTGTTGTTCCTCTTGACAAGTTTCCTTTGCTTTACAAATACATGTTTCTGTAAGTTCAGAAGGTCTTATTTGACCTTCTGTATCACCTGGGTCATAAAACTCCACAGAGTTACTCCTGCATTTGTTGCATGGTGCGCAATAACTCGGGTACACTGTATACAAGAAATAAGTGAATCCTTTTCACACTCTTTGTTTGCCTAGGTTATGTTTTCCAATTGGAGAGAGAGGTTTTTGTTTTTTTTACTTGTAATTGGACACATTCTTTATCAGCTTCGGATGAGGGGAATGGATTGTCTTTTAGATTTTTAGACATTCCAAGAACAAAGTTTTTAAACTGTTTGGGTGGTGGTGGTGGTGGTAGTAATTCATTGCATATTCACAGGGGAAAATAGCTGATTTTTAATTTACACTAAAACATATGGGGAAGGCATGGTTGTCTACAGGATTTGGAGGTACAAAATGTTTTGTATTACAGTGAACCCAACACCCAGGATGACATTTCCTTAGTTCTGATTCAAAGGATCAGCTGCACATAGTGGCCCCTTCATTGTAATATAACAAAAATGAAGCTTCTCTAAGCTGTCACGTTTCCATTTTAAATTGCCAAAGACTGGAATGATGGGAAATGGTATTTGTTTCTGTTATGTTAAATCTGTCTTTTTGTTTTAACCATCTTTTCTCTATGTATACCCTCTCTTCCAGACTGGCACACTAAAAGCAGAAATTGATTGCATGTAGTGGAGGCAGGTTTGAGTTTTCAGCAAGCATCATGTTTTAGTCTGGTTACTTATCCTATTTTGGGGCTCTGGGTTTAACTGAGAATTTTTTGTCAACTTAATATTTGTACTAAATTAAGTATAAATAATTTCATGACACACAGATAAGAGCTGGATAATTTATTTTCCATAGATGCAGCTCTTCATTACTTTGATGAAATTGCATAAAAGGGTTTGAAATTGCATTAAAGGGTTTTCTTGGTGTTTTGGGTATTACTCCTTGGAGTTGTCATTTCAAACCTGACCCACAACTGTAGGGATTCCTTCAGCTAACAATTGCTTATGAGCACAGGGCACTGGACTCGGCCTAGGAAGCCCCTTTCAGTCTTATGTTCCTACTAGCCTGAGACACTTTATAGTTACCAAAGGTGATGCAGCAGGTCAGTGATAAAGCCAGGAATAAACCACGAGTCTTTTGAGAGTTCCAAGTCAGTGGTTTTCAACCTGTGGTCTGCAGGCCCCGGGGGGTGGGGGGTGCGGCACAGATTATGTCTAAGGGGTCTGTGAAAGATGACTATGATCCATCAAAAGTAGGTGAACACCCAGATTTACAGTTCAGAGGGGTCCACATCTCCATTCAAAATTTCCAAAAGGGCCCGCATCTGCGTTCAAAATTTCTAGGGGTCTGCAGATGGAAAAAGGTTGAAAACCACTGTTCTAAGTCACTAGTAGTGCTACTTTCTGTTCCTTCCTTCTCTTAGGACAGTGGTTCTCAACCTTTTTAAACTTAAAGTACTTGTTGCTGGACTCAAGCAGCACCCCATTTTAAAAACTAATTTTATTTATTACAGTGCTTACCTCCTTGAAAGACTAGGCAGTGGGGGCAGAGCAGCAGCTAGGTGGGGAGGACACTGATCCTGAATTTCATCTCGTATTTGCTTAGATTTCAGGGCATCCCAGGCCAGCACCTAGGTTGAAAATCACTGCCTTAGGCATTCTCATTTCTGTTCTTTGTAATTATGGTTTCTGTTCTGAAGAAATGTGCCTTGAAACAGATATGTGAAGTATTAGTGTTGATTCATCATTCAATGCATTCTGTTTAGGTTGGGGTATGTGCACGCAGGTCTGATCAAAGCATTCCACAGGTTGGAATACTCAGCACAGGATAGGCTTATTAAAGTGATCTCTGAACAGTTTTTAAAAGTAATTCTTTGTTACTTGAAATCAAGGGCATATCAACAGAGAAACTGTCACTAGTGTAGTTGGACTGGTGGTAAAACTAAAGTATAGGCAGAATTAATAGATCAAAGGAGGCATATTTACTTGCATAATGAGTGTAAAAAAGGCAAGTAAAAATATTTGAGCCCTGGCTCTGCCAGAGTTATATGGGTGCTATAACCTGTGCAGCAGCAGGACTTTTGACAGCTTTTCTTACACAGGTATGTAGCTCTTCTGGTTCAGATGCTGTCTTTTTGTTTGGCAGGTATGAAAGGTGTAGAATTTATCCCTTGATGCCGTTAAAACAGTGATAATCCCAATCTGTTTTGGAAATAATAGCATTTTGCTTTCTAAATAGAGAACCACAATAGGGTATACTTAGTATTTTTGGCTTCATAAAAATAGGATACAATTATGGGTTTTGTGAAAGGCACTTTCAGTTGCTTTCAGCTTATGCCACAGTACAGTAAAAATGCCTGAAAGCTTGTAAAGAGCAAGTTTTCCAACTATTTAATTGGTCTAATAGAAGATAACACATTTATCCAAAGAACCTTGTCTGCCTGTGTCCTTAGACCAACAGGGCCATAACTGAAACCCCCAATATGAGAACTAAAGCTCTCAAACATGTCTAAAATCTTTAATTTGCTAGCACAATGTACTTGGAATAACTTCAGTACAGTAAAATCTCTGTTATCCAGCATCCCCGGAGTAAGGGGATTGCCAGTTATGTAAAAACTCTGGTTATCTGAAATAACCTGGCAGGACTTTCAGATAACTGGGGGTGGGAGATGGGACAGCAGCGGCCACACGTGGAGTAGTGACAGCTGCAGGGTGCAGTGTGGAGCGGTGGCTGTATGGTGGAGCAGCGCTCAGTGCAGGGCAGTACAGCTACAGTGCGTAGTGGCAGCAACAAGCCGCTGCGTGTGAGCTTTCCCCCCTCACCCTTCCCCACCCCAGCGTCTGGCTGGTGGAGTGGGGGGAGATTTCGCGGTGACAGTGCAGGGTGGTGGGTGGCGACGGCTGCCACTGTGCAAGCTTTCCCCTGCCCCCTTACCACGGCCAGCCGGCCAGATATTCTGGTTAGTAAAGAATTTCTGTTTAAATGCTGGAAAGCGGAGATTTTACTGTAATAGTAGTTAAAATGCACAGGAGTGATTCTGGCCACTTTAAAGACTAGTCTTCTCAGATAAAATTTATACATTTTATAAGGATAGGAGTAATGTTGTTTTCAAAATGAAAGGATCTAGTAAATGAGTGGCGTTTTTAAAGAAAATCTGAAAGTTGTATTTTCTTTATTGGTGTGAACAGCCCTTTCTGAAGGGCCCAGCTAATACAATTGTCACTTCATATGGTTGCAGACAGTTAAAATAGTGAATGTATCTTCCATCAGTTATGGACTGTTACTTTCATTGTGTTCACTGATTAAGTATTCCAACAAATGTTATTAATAAAATTGTAATAATAGAGTGTGTTTGGGTTTTGGTTTAAACTGTTTCAGTGCTAACCAGATGTGTTTATACCGCAGTGGTAAACATTTAACCTGTATCACTTATCAGACTGAATTTTTTACAGTACTGGTATACAGCAAAATGGCCTAACTAAAACTTGTGTAAACTGTTCAGTTGCACATCTCAACTTGCAGTATTATTAGACTAGTTAGGATACGTCACTTAACTAAAATATGTAGTAATACCCAGAACAATGTATCCACCCAGTACTAAACAGTTAACAGGACAGGGCTGTCAAAAAATTGTCTCCACTTGCCTCAAGCTCATTTGCTTAAAATGGAAATCTTCAGTGTCAGGCAGGTGTCACATTATCCCTCTGCCTCTGAGACTATTCCAGAGTTGTGAGAGCCTCAAATTTATGTTCTGTCTTAGCCTGACTTCCCTAAAGTAAGTACTATTTGAACACTATTAATGGTAGGGAGGT